AGTGTATTCAATACTGATATGGGTACTGCACTCGAATGCGATATTTAAGTATCCTCTAAAAAAACATGCCTTCATTACGTTGAATTTCTTTGTCAAAATGGATAAGTGAATTCTTTAGTCTCCTGACAACAGAATTGCGATCTCAAAATTCGAAAAAAATGACAAGTAGCTGAAATTATGGAACGAATCGATGCGATTTATCGCAAGTCGCTCGGACACGAAAAATGGCGTCCGTCGAAGCACCTTAAATTGCAAATCCCTAACACATACTAGACATTTATTTTATAAATTAGGTAATTTAAAGGTAAGTTATCTTTTTTTTAAAATAGTTACAACACTAAACATAAGATGAGAAATGTAAAGAACAGGAAAGGAAAGACAAAAAGTCAAGAACGGTTTAATTTTGTGAGGTGCCTATTTCTATTAGTGAGGAAGGTGAATAGAAAAGGTAAGGAATGACAAATATTGAAAAGAGAAGCTCAAATCGTGCTATAATCTACCTACTAAGAAGGAGAGATGAGTATATCGACGGTGTAAAGTCGGCAATCACATAACTCGATTTGCGACGTCGCAGACTTCCTATCACACTTTTTTTTTAAACGGAAAACTACTCAACGGCTATTCTTTAAAACTACAGTGATTTTTTTCCTCTATGCGAAGAAAATTCTGCAAAAACTTCAAGGAATGATGTCAGTTTTTTCTCTATTAAAAAAATAACACAGAGGCGGAAATTTTCAGACACCGCAAACGAGTTATGTGATTGCCGACTTAAACCGTCGATATCTCGTTTGCGGCGTCTGAAAATCTCCACCTCTATGTTCCTTTTTTTAGAGGAGAACAAATTGACATCATTCATTGAAGTTTTCGCAGAATTTTCTTCGCACGGAGTAGAAAAATCACGGCAATTTTAAGAATTGCTGTTGAGTAGTTTTCCGTTTAAAAAATCAAGTATGACAGGAAGTCTGCGACTACGCAAACCGAGTTACCTACGTGATTGCCGACTTATACACCGTCAATATAGAATTTAATGCGAAAAGAAATTAAGATTTAAACAATTACCACAACTCTCACTTTTAAAAGGAGTAATTTGGGCTGGGGCAAAGGAGTAAATAGATCCCTCCCCCTATTTGAGCAATTGCAAGCATGTTGATGTTTTTCGGAGATTTTTGTTTGGCGGCAAATTTCGCCACCTCCGAACAACCTCTCCTCCCCCCCCCTTATCTCCCCAAGGATTTAATTAAAGTTTTAGAAAAAGACGGTTGAAAACCTAAAAAGTTCCCACCTATAAAAATTGAGTGTTAACAGACCTCGACTCAAGGCAGTTTAATCAGAAGTTACCCTCTCATACCTACAGTTCGCTCAATGGTGCTGGAATTTTCGTCTAATTTCAAACCGGAACAATAATAAGTTGGGCTTATGGATAAATGCAAAAAGAGGTGCTAAGATAAGACGAGCAACTTGGAAAGACAGATCTCTGTAGATACCTAATTATTTGAATTGTGTTTAACTCAAACACCTAAAGTGATTTTCTCAGTTATTACGATGTCTGCACGTAAAAAACAGACCTAGCTAAAGAACATAACATCAAAATTCACCCATCTACTTGCCCTTGGCTTATAAGAAAGGATAAGAACTGTAAAAATGAAGCACAATAAACGTTTAACAGACAGGACGGAAATGGATAGGTTAAGGAAGACGAGGAAGAGATACGAATAAAATATGAGGAACACACAGTTTTGCAATCATGACACCAAATCTGAGCAGAATCTAAGTAAGTTATGTGCTAATACTTCTGACCTGAATCCAGACCGCACGCCAAGATATGCACCCATCAAAGGAAGCTATGAAGGTATCCGACTCCTTCAAATGGTATGGAAATATTTATCAAAATAGTCCTGGTAGGTAGATTGAGAAGGAGACGCAGACACACACACACACAGACGATACTGTGTCTAGGTAACACTTGCCGCGACGCGACGCACACACAGAAAACAGAAATACGCCGACACAAGGGACGAGCTTCACTACCGAATCCCTCCCCTACCCCCTCCCTCAACAGCACTGAACACCGAAGACAATCCCGCGCGAATAAGATCAAAGAAAAATGGAGAGTTTCACGTAGGCGCACCGAAAATGAAGAAAATCCCGCGAAAAATATGATCAAAAGAAAATGGAGAGGTTCACAAAGGCACACCGAAACACTGGAAACTACGGAAATCGATGAAAATTTTGAATTTACCAAATATCAGTAATCTAAATCCAGTTCACTCACACGTCGGGAACGAATTACCAAAAATTTCGAGAGAAAGAGAAACTGTCAATGGCGACCATCTTTCGATTCAATGACAAATTAATAGGCACGATCGTTTTCATGTATGTACTTACATGGCTGAATAATTTCCGCGAAACACACGGGGCACCGAGCCACACACGGCGAAAGTAAATGCCGAAAACGACGAAACTAAGAAATTTGATGGTAATTTTGGGCATCAGTTGCCTTCATTCAATATCCACTCGGACACCGCGCACAAATTAGTAACTTTCGATGAGGACTCAATTCAAGCGACGAATTACTTCACACGATCGTTTCCATACACGCCGAGGAGTTTTCGCGAAACAAACGAGATAAACAACGAGATACGATGTAAAAGAGTCTTGAAACCTTTCATGAAAAGAAAATCACTTGCAGCCATGAGGGATTCACTCCGACAGAACGCGAGACATTGCGACCGACTAGAGCGAACGCCGACGATCGTTTCCATACACACCGAAGAGTTTTCGCGAAACAAACGAGATAAGCAACGAGATACGATGTAAAAGAGTCTTAAAACCTTTCATGAAAAGAAAATCACTTGCAGCCATGAGGGCTCCACTCCGACAGAACGCGAGACATTACAACCGACTCAAGCAAACACCGACCGGAAAATGCCGGAACTTCAATGAATCTGCGTGACACGATCGGCGTGTAGTGGGGGGAGTGGAGTTGACTGCTCCCGATCAACACGGATTTTGATTGGCTCGCGCTAGGGTGTCTGCGCCTGCAGACTAAATTCTGTCTATGTTGGCGTCGGATGCGTCGGCTTTTGCTTATCTTTTCCTTCGAGAACTATCAGCGCGTGCCGCCCGAATTCAGACAGAGAGACAACAGGATGTCTGTTACCCCTTCCCCAGATAGCAAGAACCCTGTTCGCATTCACTTTTCACTGCACGCCGCCCGATTACCTATGTGAGCAAAATCATCAACGTCCGGTGGTAAAAACGTCGAAATCTGCTGAATTTGATCCGCTCTTTTAGAATTTGAACGCAGATTTTCTGCCGGAAGTCATCTTCGGAAGTTATCTGCTCTGTTTTGCCACAAGAATAGGATGCACTAAAATCAATTGCGCTATTAATTTACAAAACATGCAAGTCAATGGCTGTCCATAGTCTAAAAAATTCATAATATCAGTACCATATTTTAAAATATTTTATATTTTGATACCAGTACCACATTTTAAAATATTTTATATTTTGATACCAGTAGGTACATTTTAAAATATTTTATCTTTTGACAATACTAACAATAAGTAAAAATGCCTCTGATTATTCTGTGAGCCTCGCGATGGGGGGGGGGGGGGGGGGGGAGGGAATTCACAAAAACATATAAAAACTAATGGCTGGTTTTCTGATAGAAAAATAAATTGTGAGCTGAGCACAACAATGTTGCAATCAGAGATAAATATACGCATTTTTTTTCTCTTTTTCCTCTTTACTTCAACCAATTGTATATTTGAACTGCGTTTTGCGATTAGGAAGTACAATTCATTTCTGGCTCATTTGTAAAACCACTTATGTGCACAGGGAAACTAGTGGTCATTATGATAAATCGAGCAAGAAATTTTAGTTCTAAATAAGGATTTTGAATGGTGACACAAAAAGGGTGATCACTCATGTGCCATCCACACGAGACATCGCTTACTTTGGGTTCGCCTTCAATTTTGCTGTGTATGCAACAAATGCACTGGGAAGCGCGGATGATTATGTTTTTGAAAAATACACATTTAACTCGTTCCTAAGGCTTTAGGAGCTTCGTCTTAACAGGACTCCAAGCTATTCATTCACTTAGTAACTTTCAAGAAGAAAGGAATTTAGGAATAATATCCCCAAATACTGAACTACACTTAAGAGTGAATCATTTGTACCTACTTGAACTACCAAGTTTGACAAAATATGAATAATTTTTCGTTCTTTTTTCTGCTTGCAGATTGGTTTTCTTTTTTAAAACTTCATGTCTAATTGCAAACTGTTTTCTTGATCCGATAGTAACTTCTTTGTACTGAGTTTCAAGCTGTTAGACAAGGATACTTCCTTTATTTAAGTGCTTCAATTCGCCATTCCTACTAAGCTTGTATGGCATCATGTGCCTCTATTGAAATTATCCATTCTAAATTTATGCGAGCTCCAAGTATTAATTTTCAGAATTTATTTATGAGATGTAAGTACCCATTACTTAAACCAGTAAAATCACAATGTAAAATGTATCCTCATTCATAAATTGTGAATTTTTAAAATTTTGAATTTGTTGTTTTTACTTCGCTTCTTTGTCCTGGATCTATTTATTCAAACAAACTACTCGGTTTAATTTTCTTTAACAGGTAGAAAATATGATGAATACTGATTGATTAATATTTAGTAATCATTTTAGGTAGAGTAGGTACTTTCAGGAATAATGAAACAAAAAACCCACGCAGGGACAAACGACTAAAATAATTTCTTCACGAGAACGAAGAATCATCAACGGTTTACCTAAAAGCCTTTAAACTGGAAAAGAAGTATAGCTACAAAATGAAGTTGAGATATAAAACAGATAAAATTATTTTGAATCTTCAGAACTTACAGCAAGCATGAGTGAAAAGAAATTGAACTAAATTAGGAAAGAGAGCCTTTTTTAATAAAGCAAATACACATCATTAAGTAAGTCGATACTAATGAAAAGGTTTGGGAATCCAATAAAACTCGAATTACACAAATATACTTTATTTATTGGTGAATAAAAGCACTTTTTTTGTAACAGGTAAATCTTCAACAAAAGAATTTGAGTACCCTACTCTAATAATTAAATTTTAAGAGGAAAACAAGGAGAGCATACATCTGGCATAAATCCTTAGAAAACCAATGAAATAAAAAGAAATAGTAATAATTCGTTAAATTTATAATAAAAAGGGTCACTTGAAGAGAGAAATGGGATGAAATGAGTTTAAAAATTATCATTACAAAGTTAGAACAGAATGAAACGTGATTTAAGGATAAGTGAGAAGATCCGTACGAATAATGTGAATTTTAATCTTTGAATAGAAATTTTTCACATTCAGATAAGGGGCAAAGGCTCTCGGTCTAGGAAACTTCTACTATTAACTTGAGGTATCATATAATATTTAACATTTGTTGTACTTGTAAGTCATTTACAAAGAACTTGGATTGGTATTGCACGAGTTACAGTGAGAGACAAAAACTGGCTTCCTTTGAACGTTATCATTTCAGGAAAAAGTCAGCGGCTATAATTGAAGTAGAAAAACAGGGTGAAAGGGGAGGAAAAAAACTCAACACTTGAGACTTTTACATACATTTTCAGCTCAATGCATTCAGCACAAGAGCTTCAGTGTTCATTGCACAATGGGGAGACTCAGTTTCTACTAAAAGCAACCACCATTTAAGACCCACCATGGATAAAAATATTTCAGCCGACCGACCTTAATTATTCAATTGGAACAGGATAATAGAAGAGTGTTGGGTTCACTTGATTCTTGTGGAAAAACAAAACCAATACTTTATTTTCCTTCGACAAAAGGATTGACCCAGCTTGCATTAGTGTATTTTTGTTTTAAAGGTCTTTTATTTTGAAAAAATTTCCGTGAACTAAGTGCCAAAAATTATTAATTTTCAAAGCATTATAAAAGTGTAAGTTTAGGAATTTGAGTTAAAGTTTGATATCTTCACTAACTCCCTTGACTGATCACCTGTGAGGCTCATTAAAAATCCACAAATAAGTAAGTTAGGATTGACTTCACCACTCTACCATAATGACTTACATGATCAGTTTGGGAACCTAAGATGACAAAAAAAATCTCTTAAAATACTGGAAAAAAAAGAAATGTGAAAATTTACAAACAAGATATCTAACACCATACAGTATGCGAAAACATACATCCACGTATGTACCTGACAAACGTAAAACTAGGTGGTATGTACCTACTATAAGATTCATGATCTCGATAAGTGATGATAATTTAGCGTGAAGAACAATTTTGGCACTTACAAGCGAATCCTTAATTCTTACATGTCCATGGCAGAGGACCTGCAGAGGCACGGACACTTTCCATCTAAATTCTGAACTTATGAAATACATACATATCGTTGTCAGAGGAGACAAGGATATATTCATTCACATCTGTACTTAAGCAAATGCAATTTACAATAAATAAGTTATGGTTCATTCAACAAGTAAACAGTGTTTCTTCTCTCATATTTTCTCATCTGTTACAGGTATTTTAATTTTAAAGAGATGAGAACTATACAATTATACATACAGATCGATTTTACCGAGGTAAATGAAACGAAAGAGTGCTCTGCTGATTCAGACAGTGGCGATTCTTGTAAATTGGCAACACTGTTTTTCCTTCAATTAAATCACCTAAGATCGATATTTTTAACGGATTTAAATGGAGTAAAAACAACGTTTCCACCTTGCAAAATCGCTTCTGGATACAGACCATCCAAGATCAACAAAAAGCTTGGTGACATAGATCTTTTATCAATCTAGGCGAGAAGTTTGAAACAGGGTTCAATAATGTAATATTCGATTCGTATAGGTCCATCCTTCTGCCTGGGCCTAACTTTCCACCCGAAACGAGACCGACGGAACTGAGAGTTTTGTCGGTTTTGGGTGCTCAAATAGGGGAAGGGCATACCTTCATCTCATTTACCTTGGATTCTGCCTGTATTTTAAAGGAATATCTAGACCAATTTCAGGAATGAGCAAAGATGTTCTTGGGTTCAAATGATAGTGAGCTCTTACATCAAGTGAATATTAATGGTGAAAGTAGGGATGCATGTACCTACTTTGTTTGATGCATTCAAAATTTTCTCTACTTCATCATTCCATTGGCAAGACATACAGCTTACAAATAAAAGTACCCTTGGAAAAACAATCTTGATAGGCTTTGAACCAAATCATAATTGAGCCTATATTTTTCTTAAGATGGTTAGTGCATAAAATCCAAGTTTCGAGAAAAATGGAAAAAAGTGTGCGATTCGGCATGCATTCAATCTTTGAGCCCAGTTCTGGTAGGTATTATTCAGACACATTAATTCTTTGGGCTAAAAAAATTAAACGCATGCTGAATGGCACAGTTTTTTCTGTGTTACTCGAAACTTAGATTTTGGTTCTTGAGCCTTTAAGAGAAACATCGGTTCAATTTGAATGTGATAAAAGTGATTGGTTTTCTTGCTGAGACAGGAGATTTACTTCGTTGCAAGTCAAGATGATTGTTTTTCTACTAACATTAGTGGATTTCTACTGTTTTGCTACAATGGCTTTAGGAAAGTAAACACACTTTGCTAGGTAATGGTCTGAGAAAAAACAAATACATACAAAAATAAATCAAATACAGCTACAAAAAGAAAACGTTAAATCGAGAGACGAGTTTTAAAATTACAGTACTCATTTAAAATAAAAGAGCGAGAATTGCCGAGAAATACAGACACAAAGTAACGTATACTTAAATATACAATCCACAGATAAAAATCAGGGGCGCGGTGTGAATGATCGATTATCGATTATTCCCCATTTTAAACTGTGGTAAAGAATCGATTATTAAGGTGTTCGCTACAAGCACCCTGTTTATCGATCCTTTTTCATAGGTTTAAATTGCAGATTAATCGATATATCATGAAGTACACCACGCCACTGATAAAAACTTATTCAACTGAGCAGCACCTCAGATACATCACTACTAACGGAAGCTGACAGACAGATAATTCAACAAAGTAATTGGGTAACTGTTAAATGATAAAAAATTGAATGATTCTGTTTAAAACTAACTGCTCTTCAGCAACTTCAACAAGTAGTTGACAAAAGATAGAAATCTAAAGTTGTGGGTTTGCATCTGTTCCTATGAGGTGAATACAGGCATTAATTTGATAAGTATCAAAACTGCTGTAATTTGTGATATTGCTAGAACCTCTGAGTAAGAAAACAAATCCAAGAAAAGAACATATTTTCTCTACAGAAAGTTTTAAAATCCGACGCCAAAGAACCCAAAAGTAAAGATATAATTATGTACATGACAGCTCTTCTTCCACCGAAAAAAAAGTTGACTTCTACCTGTGCTGATCAAATCTTAATCTAGTCCCCGTAGAACTTTGAAAAAACTGGAGCCAAAAATCCAAAAGCAAAGATTTTACATGATTGCTCTTCTTTTACTGAGAGGAAAGTTAATTTTTACTTGCACTGATCACATCTTTACTTGGTCTCGAAAATGAAACCAAAAATTTTGCTGATGTTTTTGAAAGCTTATCTTTACTGGGTACAGTTATAAATTTTAAAGACTAAAAATTGAAGCCAAAATCTTCAAAGATTGAAATGATTTCAAATTGAAAAGCGGGAAATAATCCCTACATTCACCCAATTATTTAACAAACAACATCAGGAAAAACATGAATGTGGTGGGATGCCTGGCAGACTATAAAGCCCACGGCTCACCATACTGAATACACAAAATTTTAGACTTTAGAAGTTCCCAACAAAATTCTTGTCACAAAATACAACCAGCTAAAACTAACCTAGATGCACCAGTGGGTGTAATAAGTTAGGGATTGAAACAGCATGATTTGAATAAAAATAAAACATCAGCGAAACAACAAAATTATAAATTCTGAATCTATCAGTAGAATGATAAACAATAACCTCTGAAAGACACACCATAATTACATTGTTATTTCAGTGAAAAGAATATAAAGAGCAGAGAGGTTTCTCACTGTGTATCTCTGGTGACAAAAGTACGGATTAGCAGATAGAAGAGAATAGCGAAGGTGAAAAACAGATACGTACATAAAATGAATAAAAATCAAACTTAAATCCTGTGTGATAAAAACCGCATGAACGAGCGGATGGGAGAAATTAAATTAGATACATTATTAAAGTTTAATAAACAATAGGTGCTAACGACGAAAATGATTATGTACAAAATGAAAAAGTAGACTCTTGCCCTACAGCTAACAAGAAAATTTAACAGGTACAAAAATATGGGGGAAACAATATCGAAAATGATCACACAATACTTTCACGAGAGATTTAAAATAAATTAAATTAAGCGTTTCAATTTCTGTACAATTGCTCCTTTCACCAGATGAGGTGCATAAAGTTTATTAAGATCACCTCTCGCTTAAGTTCATAGTGAATGACATAACTGCTCTGCAATAAGCAAAAAAAAGTCATTTCTGAGGACTACAGTGGTACAGAGACAGTACTAAATTACTGGGTTCCAAATCAAGAGGTCCTCACTTCCTGGTTTTGATTAAAATACAATTTTTTTTTTTTTTTTAATTCTAACAAATATTTTTACAGAACAATAAAGTAGGTAGTGAACTTAATACAGAAATGTTTTCTAGATCAAAACCTTGAGACGAGCACTAGTACTTATAAGATAAGGCTCTGATGAGTGTGCATCTGTTGGAGCCTTGATTATCATAGGGAGTTCCCTTGTTAATGCGATACCTTTCAAACAGACAGTGACCTTGCGCTCTTAAATACTGAACAGCCGTATGAAGTGTAATGGGTCAGTGCTATAACATTTCTGCAGAGAATCCGACAGTTGTTCCGAGTGTATTTTTCATGAAAAAACCAAAATACCTGACAATTTCATTGATTTGAAAATTGTTGAAGATGAAATGGAATCATTACAGACAACAAGACAATTAAACTGGGATAAAGCTAGCCAAAGAAGAGCTCACAATTTTTCTGGACTTTACTAGGTCATAATTGCTATCAATCAGAGATATCAGTTTTTCTGATGAAAATGTGTGAACAAGAGCAGTTTCTACAAGAAGACATGATTTTGATGCTTGGAAAGGATCCTTAGGAAGTGTAACTATCATTCTTGAGATGAAAACTAAGCCAAAATTCCTTCAAGTTTTACTCAGGTGGAAAATAAGAATGAATTAAAGAGGCAAAACATAAACCACTCGGAAAGGACAAAAACCGAAATATGCAAGAGACATTGAAACCAATGTTCGAACACCATGTTGATCAACTTGGCCAAACAGAAAAAATTTCCGAAAAAAGATTTTTGAAAGGCCGATCTACTGTCCATGACAGCATGCACGTCGATTTTTGTGTATGTAAAAGCCAAACAGTTACATGTTACACCTGAGCTTAAAGCTATCAAACCTGTATGACCTTTTTACTGCCTACACGTCTTATTAGTGCTGCTGGCCACTGTCACTTCAACATTCCCACATATTAAACCAGTAAAATAAAAATCTAAGTACTTCAATATTTTTTCAGTATCTGTTCAAAACCAGAAAGACTGATACAAAAAATCAAAAACAAAAGACAAATGAATTGAAGTGTAAGATACAGTTAGAATAAGCTCTGGTCAATTTGTATGAAGGAGCCTTGTTTGCATTGGGAAGTTGTGACAATCATGTCTTTACAACATTTGATCCATTCTCTCTCTTGCTCAGTGCTATTCAAAAATCCATGTAATTGTAGTTTTTATTTTCCTTGATTTCGTAAAATTTAGAAGGCTTGAACTTGAATTTACAACTAATGTTCTCGTTTGAATTGTACATGAATGCTAGGTATTACGAAGTGCCAGTACATAAATCACACTAAGTATAGACTTTAAAAATAAACTTTTTACCAAATATAGACTTCAAGACACAAAATTTCTCTAACAAGTAGAAATAATTTGTTCCTAAATAATATTTTTGAACGTTGAAATATTCATTAAGAAAATACCTATGCAAAAAAAAAAAAGATCCTGACTCATAAGAAATGAACTGAAAAATGTATTTGCATCTCTTTCATTACACAAAAAAAATTATTGCTTCTTAAACCTGATTAAAAGAACAGAGCAGCTGAAATAAACAGCGAAGAAATACCTCTCTCGCTGATTAATTACTTTAAGAAAAGATGCTACAAAGAATGCACCCGCTTAGTGCGCAAGTAGACCTGGGAGATTTACTTTTAGGATCCTACAGAAATATGTTAAATAGGCTTTTTTTTTTGGACCAGCTGAAGTCTTTTAAACATGTAAGTAAGTTAAACATGTGAGTGGAGCTGAAAAAATAATTTTTAGTCTCAGCAGATTGATACTGAGATTTCAAGAAAACGGTCCGAGCCTAATGTTAGGTATACACAATCACCAGAATGTGACTCCTCAAAGAGAGGTTTGAAAAGTGCAAACGCATTTATTGGGGGATTGCGTTTTTTTTCCACTCTCTTTTTTTTGCATTCAGGACCTCAATCATGAGAAAGCAGAGCAACCTGTTTAGTCATGATGAGCACACAATACAATTCCATATTAGTGCTATCATCCAGATGAAGACCGCTCTCTTGATTTTCAGGAGTTTCAACGAAACAGACTGAACTCGTTAAGATATCAGCATAAATTCAAACGAAACATTTTAATTCTTTCAAGGAGAACCCAATAATTACCTTTGAGGAAGCTTTAGTACTAACAACAACAAATCAAGTTTTCTCCGCTAGATTAGTTGCTTCTCCGTCCTAACTGCCTACTGTGCCTCCTACTAAATATGATACTACTCCTTCTTTAAAAGCATTTCGCTTTAACCGGCTACTGTTTTACTAACACTGGAACAAAATTAGAAAAAAAAGACGCAAAATTAGCTTCACAAAGTACTCTACTCCCGAATTTCTGCAGCCTGATGTAAAGAACAATTGGTATTGCGCCAATGAGACCTAATTCTCTTTGAAATCAAGCTTCAAAAATTCCAAAATAGAGGAAAGGATTATAGAAAATACATAAGCGTATTACCAACCCACGTAAGCCCAAACTATCAATTGTTGTTTGACCCATTTCCGATAAAAACTGGGCAAAAAACAATATTGATAATTGGTATTCTGACTGCAAAGGTGTTGATGGGAATGTGCACCCCATTTGCGAGGCGCTATCAGTTCCCGGACCAAAGTGTATTGATACATTGTTGGACCACACAAGATACTTTTCATTTTTCTTTTTGGTTTTTCACTACCTCGTATTCTGAACAAGGCAATATTTTGATGGCACTATGAGGGCACTTACGCCTCACATGGCAGTCAATGTGTTGGATGGTTTGAGGAGATGGGACAGTCAAAATCAAATCACAGCATTGTAACCCACTTGATTTTGGCCTGACCGTTAATCTCCGGGATATCAAAGGAAGCAGTGTATTTCTACACAGGAGTCCTAAAATAGAACTCTAAAATTTCACGTCCAAAAGCTTGGAGATATAATAGGACAGAAATACCATGCAGAGTTAATCTAGAGTTCATTGGTAGGACATCCGATCCAAGTTTTAAAAATTGAAAAAACCTTTGAATTTGAGGTATGATTGAGAAATTATCTACAGATTACAGGGATAAGAGAAATTGTGGGAATGCAATGAAAGGTAAATACTTATGTGATGAGAATAAACGAATGATGACGTTGAAGGATGGGGGGGGAAGAATCCTACTAAATGGAAAGTTATGTGTTCACAATATTTCTTCTTGCCGGCTCGGTTTTATTTTTCATAAAGATGTCTTGTAGTTGATCAAATTTGTTTGTCACCTACGCTCTTCCCCTTTCACAAACGCAAGATCCACATTCCGAATTCAAGCCTCCCCACGTTTCTATGTATTCACCAGATCCTACAATCAAGTATTTTCCACACCCACCTTTGATGTGAACGCAACCATCCAAAATAAAATAGAAATTCGTGATACCCCTTAAGGATAAAATTCTTATAGAAATACACTACTTTTTTCACTGTAATTTTACCTTGCTGTGAGGTAAAGTAATTATCCTGATGAAAAAAAAAGGGTCAAATCTTGGAATTTAAAATCCAAATCGGCAGATCATAAAAAAAGATAGAGAGATGAGAAAATAATAAGTATATCTGTAATTAATTTGCAACTCTTTAAAACTGCTGAATTCATAGTGAATGACAGTTAAAAAAAAATAATTTGTCAGCCATGCATCAATATCTTTGTTTTCAATGAGAAAATGCAGTTTTGCATTTACCCTAACATTAAGGGAGGATGTAAAAAGCTCTGTTATTACTTATTACTTTTACATCAGAGTTGATTTCCCCATGCATGGCTTACTAATTCAGAAGAAAAACTGAAAACTATATGAAAATAAGTTCTTCCTACAGGATAAAGAAAATTAAATAAAAAGGAAAGAAAAAGTAACCAAAAAGTAAATTAAAAGGAGCTACAAGCAACAATTAAAATGCTGCCTCATCAAAAAGACAATGATGGAAGAGAGTTTGCAAGACGATGACAAGCCAGAAAACCTTGGGATTCAAGCAAATGAGAGACTCTGCTGAACACACTGGGCCAACTGACGAGCAAGCTGATTGGCGAACGGAGGTACAGAGCAAGAAGGGTAATCGATGGTCCATGAATCATAAGATAGCTGAGCGCTTAATAATATTTACCCCAGGATGAAGGGAACGGAACAATGTCGTCTTGTTCCTTAGGGTACTGATACGATGAGGAGTAGCGCTGTGAGAGCGGAGGCACAAAGCCCTCCGACGAGTTCAAAAATCCTGACTGCGGCATCGGAGCAAGCCAGGGTGGACATTGCGAAGACGACGAAGATGGGAAGCCGTAGAAGGGCAGGTCTGATTTAGGAACATTCTTTGAGCTGGACGGCAGATCTAGTTGACCAGGGTACAGATGAGGCGAGTCAAAAGAGCGAGCGCGGCCGTGCGGAGGCAGGTGTGAGATTTTGGGATGGGAGTGGAACTGGGATTTGGATGAGTGAGGGAGGTAAGATGAGGGATGATGGTGCGCTGGGATGGGCTGGTCGGAATGTGAGCGAGATGGATGGCCGTGATATGGCTGCTTTTTGACTAATGAGATCGGCTGAGCACCACCGAGAGGGTCTTGGTGCTTGTAGGGAAAGGCAAGGGAGGAGAAGGGATAGCCGCCTGTTTCTTCATCACCCATGTTCCTGAAAACAGAGATTTAAGTTCATTTAAATCATGAATTGAATTCAAGAGCTGATTACTTTTTAATAAAATATGAACTGAGGTATAAAGCCGAGAGATAAATATGAACCAGGTACTCTGATATGAACTCCGACATGTAGTATTTGTAATTGCAAAATTAATCTTCTTGACCAAAAGTTTTGGATCGAGCTCCCTTGAATTTGTTGCAAAATTTTTGGATTTTTCAAAAAAACAAATACATTAGTTGAGAACGAATTGGAATTGCAGTGACAGCACTGCAACCGTAGAAAAGAAAGCATTTATTGCAGTTAAAGTCTACTCCTGAGCTGAAAAAAGGATAAAGGTGTGTAGAATCTCAGCTTATCTCACCTTGAAAAAAAAATTATGGAAACAATCAAATAACTGAGCATATAATTTTAGGTTTCAATGCTTCAATTGCTTCAATGTTGTTTACTTTTGGAGAGATTCACCTGTAAGAAGTAATTTTAAAATAAATTCAGATAGAATTGAATCAGCTAAGGAAATACAAGAAAGTTTACTCACCTGTAAAACTTGTGGTGTGGTTTAAGACCGAAACTCGAGCTGCCAGGTGCATCAAAATCACCGCGGTTGAAAGGAGGTAACTCTGAATCATCGAGGTTTTGGTAATCCGCATTCAATTTTTGACGGAGAAGTTCATTGATCCTGGTTAGTTCGTCAATTTCCCTAGACAGATCAGAAAGAGACATGTTAGGGATTCCTTAGAATAAAATATCACGTACTATTTTGATATTACACGACTAGAATTGTCAATTTTTGGAACAGTTAGTATTCAAGTTAAGAACTTGAAATTCACTAATTTTTAGTTTTTAGTAAGTTTTAAATTTAAATATCATTTGTCACAATATTAAAACCCCATACTAAATCACTGTTTGTCAAGGTTGAAGCACAAGATAGATGCAACCAAAATGATGTGAAAATTATTTCCAGTTTTACTCTTCTAGGCTCGAACATCGCAGAATCTCTTATTCCTTCTAACTGTATTCGTATTTATCAAATGCAACCTTTGAAACAAGTAAAAGAAACAAACAGGTGTAATTAACAATAATTTATTGAAAAGCATCAAATAATGCATAAACGCTGCATACTTTATATGAGGATTGATAACTTCAGTTGGTAATGGTTGTCTTTTGTACCGTGACGGAGGTTTATTTAACAAACTTTCTTAGTTCCACGATCAAAATACGAACAAATTGAGGGCTCATCAAGACCATCAGACAGCTTTAGTGGCTATGTCATTCCATCTTTCATAAATCCAATGGTTTCACCCAAAACAAATAACCTGTTCTGATACTATTTATTTTGGTGCATTTTTCAAGAATGGCACAGTTTCACATTCATCGATCAAGTGTTGTAGTCACTGCATGCGTCTACTCCAGACCTTTCATGCGCCAGAAATGCAACAGTGAGTCATCAATGATTTCTTGGTTAGTTTATATTTTGATGATGTAACGTGACCTTTAAACATAATTTGACCAATTTTTGGTAGGTAGAGCAAATTGTCTCAGTTTTGAACGAAAAAAACATGTCATCATAAAATTCGAATGAAATTTTGAAAACTGTCAAGACCAGCTGTGCGGTAACATTCATGAAGGAATCTCTACAATAACTATGCTGATGCAACCTGGCAAAAAAGGACACACCGGATAGAAAATAGATGAGAGAGGAGATTTTTATTAAACTTGGAGAAAATCCTAAGAGATAATTTAAAAGTATTTTAAATACTTTAACTATATGTTTGTTTAAAAAAAAGAAATTTTTAAGTATGTAACAATAAAAGTAGCGTAGCATTTCATCTTCTGAAATTTCATCACGGACATTGCATTGCACAGCAGATAATCTTGACAGGTTTTCACCTCAACTATTTTTTCTAGAGTTTGTTTCTTATAGTTTGGTCTCAAATAACAGTGAAACCACTGGGTTTTAATTTTCCAAAAAAGAATAAAATCAAGGAGAAAATTCAGACCAGAAGTTCTCTTCTATTAACTCAAATTTTGGTCACACCGCTGTTTCAATTTAAAAGAGAAACAATATCCAAGATTATTAGGAGAGTGATATCTTTAAAAAAAGCTCAAGGTGCATAGCTTTTTCCAACTTGACACACTCCGTTTTAGACCATATTTTTAAATCACGGGACTTATAGTTGGGTAAAATTAAAAAACTCTTGAAATGCTCATTTTTGCTAAAAGTTCAACCTGGAAGCTGGACAAAATTTTAGCAAAGGCGAGTATTTCGATGGTCTTTCACTTTTATGTAAGCTTTTTCCTCACCATTTATGTGATCGCATTGTATAATTGGGTTATGATAGAATATAAGATATGATAGAAATATCCGATTTTGTGCTTAAACTCCTCACAAAGTTGAGAGTCTAACAATTGTGGAGTACATGTAAATCTTGAAACAATCCCGCGTTTTAGATTAAATGAAAAAGTGTGATAAAGTCTTCTTGTTTAGTAGAATTGAAGCGTAGAGCACTAAATGTTCTCAACATCAGTTCAAATTTTTTCAGTTTCACATTTCTGATAGTAGATCATTACATTTACCTGAACAACTTAGATTTTAATTCTTTTTTAAAGGCTTCTGACACCGATGATAGCCCAACAATCATCCTGGAAATAGTAGCCCCACCTTGCACGGACTGAACACGACGGAGTGAGAGTATCTTGGGTCTGAGTTGATCGAAACGGACAACTCACACCCAAGACTTTCAAGCTGGCAGTCTATTTTCTAATTTCACATTCACGGAGGCTGATGCCCGCTATGCCTAATTAAACGATTATTGCCTCCCGTCCGAAAACTACATTTTCTCCTGTCCAAGAAAACACACTTGATGAGACAACTTTCAAGTAGAGAATAAGTTTTGAATCAAACAGGCATAAATAAAAATTATGGTCCTCTGTTTGGCACGAGCTTTAATACATTTGGAAAAAGCGAAACTTAACCGCACGATATGTCCCTGGCGAGAGACTCCGAAAAAAATAATGCGGAGGTAAGGTAATCATATGAATTTGGGGATGTCACTGAATTGTTATTTCTGAATTCATGAGTTTCTGAGTTACAAATTAGCATCTCTTTTCTTTTTGGTCACTTCACTTTGGTGTCAAAGCAGGAGAGGGCACTCTGAAGATTTTTAATTGTAGATTTATAGAGATACTTTCCTTTCCATTTTCATAAAAATCTTCTCTCTTTTCACAAAATGTGATTATTTTCTTTTAACATTTTGAATTTGAGAATATTGCCATTTTTCACATTTGATCTCATTCTTGGCCTAATGGATGACAGACCTGATCTCCTCAGTTTATAATCTGATTTAATGATTTGGCAGGGTGTCTATAGACTTAGCAGGGGAAAAAGGACAAACAACTTTAGGCTCATTCGACTTTATGTAGAAGCAACTACAATAATGTGTCGCTATTACACTTTAGTCTCTAAGTCAGCCTCATGAGTTCAATTGAGAAAAAAATTCAGTTCAGACAGATTCATGAGCTATAATTTATGAAGAGGGTTTCATGGAAAAGTTTCGTTTGTACGTAGCGTCTTCTATGGGTGTAGAACGAGTAATTTAAATAGGTTCAAAGTTTTTGCAGATGGCAGGGGTATCAAAAATTTTGTAAGCTCTGTTTCCAAAATAGACATATAATGCTCCTCAACGATCAATTTTTGAAAGCCAACAGAGTATCATAATTGCAAGAGAAAGGGGAAAAACAGTGTTTGAAATTTTTTAGAAACGTGGCGAATTTCTTGAATGGGGATTTTCATTCAACAGCCCACAAGAGTTTTGACAATTCTATTGGACAGCTCTAGGTCTTAGAGTATAGTTGAGGCAGTTTTACTGCCATTTTGATTTGTAAGATAAAAATTTTACTAAATCCAATAATCGGAAATTCGGGTTGAAAACCCTCAAAAAACTCTTCGGAGTTCTATCATGAAACAATTTGGAATTGTGAAAATAGTTTTGAAGTTCTAAAAGTTGAATGAGTCAGTGGCGCCTAATTTTTTCGATTCATTTCCTTCAAGTACTGAGTGAATTGAGCTCTGAGTAATTTTTTCCTGTTTTTTTTTTTTTTTTTACTCGAAATGATGGAGAAAATCGATTTTAAAATCGCCAAAATCTAGACCCAATTAGAATATTTTTTGCGGTCTGATAAACGTAGTTAGATGAGGGAGTCTGCAGTCACTGATTCGCTGAAGCCCTGTCGGATACAGGGCCTAGATACGTCATTACCACTGCTGGACTTTGGTTAGTCAGACTTAAATCAGCTTTTTCTCTATTTAAAGTTGCTTTTTAAGCTACTTGATGGACTGTTGGTTTTACATGAAATTTTGGGTTGAGAACATCTGTCAGATACTCTGCAGAAATGTTTTGCCACTGACCCATTGACAAACATTCAGAATGTGAGAGCTGCAAGCCATTAACGTTTGTCAGTAATTTCAAACACTGAGGAAATACTTGAACCGAAAGATAACGGCTTTAAAGTAAAATAAGAACTGCTAAAGCTACCAAAGATGTGACGCGGTTGCCAATCAAGACAAATTTTTCAATTTCCCAATTTCAATGGAAAGTTTGAACAACTTCTCAATAAAATGGCAATGAGGTAGAGGGTCAGTGACGATGATAATAAAGAGAGTTAGTTACTATTACTATGTGGTTTACTTACTTGGTTTTCAAACTACCCTTCTTATACGAACACCCGCCTAAAATAACTTAGAAACCTTAAATCAAAAAAGACCGTTTTTACTCAATTTACAATAGATAACCTGAGAGTTAAGAGAAGATGTTTACACGATATTAGTGTGATATATACGATGAGACATAGATTAAAGATACACATTTTCAACGATTAATTTATTAAAAAGACAGAAAAACTTTGGAACAGAAAACGCCTTGGAAGTCTTAAATAAGACTTGGACTTTCTCGTTTTCGCTTTGATTTTGCTTTCAAATGCCTTTCACTCCCTTCAGTAAGACAAAAATATTCCCAACAGCTCTAAATCGCTGATTACGAGGCGAATAGTTCTGATGAACTGTGCAGCTTAAACAGAGTGTCTAGTTTTTTTCATTTTGGGAAATCCTGATTTTTGACTAATAACTCCTGATTTCATAATTTTTCCAAATTCTGATTTTTTGCGGAGAACAATTAAAGTTTCTGCATAAAAGCGTATGCGAAAGCATAAAAAATCCGATCGGACAGTCGACTTTTCTCAAATCCTGATTTTATGACTGATTTTTCCTCAAATCCTGATAAAATCGGGATTAAATCCTGATTGACCTCAAATCCTGACAGAATCAAGAGAATCCTGATGCTAGACACCCTGTTAAAGTGTAAGCCCCATCACAGTCTTGATCTGAGAGCACTCTTTTAAAATAATTAGATAGGATTTAAGAAGAAAAAAACTAAAAGCCCTTGAAAGTCCTTTGGCACTCTAACCTCTACTGAGATTAAAATTCCTTCCACAGAAACATTAAGTCTCAGAGTGACTCTTAATCTCTCCTGAAACGAGTTATAAGTATCTCAATGATTATCTAAACTCCAGATTACCCAAACTTCTCACTATCCTCACTTCTAATAATTCCAACCTCCAATTATCCAAACTCATTTGTGGAGAACTTCTCCAATCCTTACCGCCATGTTTTCTCACTTACTCTTCATTGGCACAGCCCAAACTATTCTCCGCTTAATTCTTCATTATCTAAAGACCGAGTGAATGGTAATAATTTCTTTCTTGTTTAACATATAAAGAGAGTCCAAATAAGCATACCGATGATGCTCTTCGCTTAGTCCGAAATTTTCCTTAACTGAATCGGCCGACTGCTACATTAGTTCAGATAATTCGGAGTTTAATGTACTCAGAAACTGTTTCTATGCATCAACTTCACTCACGAAGGACAGTTCGAACACGAAATTATCAAATGAGAAGCTGTTTAATCTCTCAGCATATAAAAAAAAATTGGCAAGTCTAAGAACTTTCCACCGTCATAGTTGGTTACGACCTGTTTTCTAAAACATAGATCTCTCCGTTCAGGTCTTACCAAACTATGAGAAATTGTAAGGTGCAGGTTTTACAAATGGACGATCATTGACTTTACTGTTCCTATACTTCAAGGCAGACATTCTGCTAAATCCAAATGCTGATGTAGCACTGTGTTAACCGAGTATTTTTATCGAGTAGAGAGGCATCATTCACTGATTAAGCTTGCGCTAGTTTCGGCAACTAGTATTTTCATAGCACGGAAAGTGGTTGGCTATATAACATGCTTGTTGAATTGGCTAGACTCAGACTCCTTCTCTCATATTCCAGATGGCCAAATTCTGTTACAGTTCATCAACAACTGCCGGTTTTGATATGGATTTGATTGATTCTGATGAGCTTGCGTCAAGTTCAGTCAAGCAAATTGGAACACCGAAGCAAATTAATAGCCTCGGTAATGGTGCCTCCTTCAACATAAAATCTACCGGCGCTTAATTGTGCTATTATTGTGCACATATTATCTGCAGAATGGATATACAAGCACCTAATATTCTATTCAAGAAAGGTGTAATGTTCAGTTTCTGCCTCTAAAGCATTGTGTTCATAAAAATCAGTCATATTTTCTGCGAATTGATCAATTAAATGTAGTTAATTTGCTTCAACAATGGAAGGGAAAAAGTGTTCCATGAGTATAAGGTTTAGACAACTGTAGAATATTGAACCAAATTCGATGTTCACTCAATTTCTGGGGGGTTTGAGGAAAATACCTTTTTTGAACTCTGATTATTTCCTGCTCTTCAGTTTTGAGACGTTTGTGCGTTTCATCCAGCTCTTCAATCCTCCTAGAAATAGAGAAAAAAGAAAACTCAAATGAGGGAGAAACTCTAATAAGAACATACAAAACAGCTAAGAACAATTTACAAGTTCAAGCAAGCTTTTCAAAATTTCCTTACGTTTCCAAACATGACTATCCCAATTTTATTTTCTGCATTGGTGCATTCCTTAAAAATATTTAGCCGGATAGGAACTTTTAATTTTCCACTTCATGCATCTACTACTCTGCAGATTAAGATTCAAACTCAAAGAGGTAAATCTAAATAACACAATCTGCAAGCTACCTTACACTACGGTAAAAGACTAGAAAAAAGGGTCATGTTTAAATCCATAGATAAATTGGATTACATTTTGCAATAAGGAACCACTATCTCTGGCTCTTCCGTACAATCGCTCATTTGCATGGGGAAATCAATGGCATATATGTTGTTTCTAAAATGAGCCAGAAATAGTGGTTCCTTATTGCAAAATGTAATCCAATTGTTAGCTACTGTAAAGTCACTTCATACTTGGAGCTGCGAAGTCTTGGATCCTCAATATCACTACCAGGCAGGAATGTTACACTGTTAGTAAAATTTTTCGTAATCTTTGATCAAATCATTCTTGGATTCCTTTCCTGCCCTTGGCTCCCTGATCCAATCTACTTGATAATATTTGCAACTGGTTATAGTGTAATCTTTATGCCTGTTTGTGACATCCGTGAAACCTAAAGACGGAATCCAATCAGAAATGGATTCTGCATTGTGCTATTCTAGGTATAGAGGGATTCTCAGCACACAAAGATAAATAATTTGAACATAAAGTGAAAATAGGTGGTTGGTTACCTTTTGACAGCATTTAGACACTGTGTCCGGTTTTCCAGTGTTGATACTGTTATTTGATGGCTGTTCTGTATCTCCTTCAGACGAGACCTAATTGAAAGAAAAAACAGAAAATCAAATTTTGTCTAGTGGCAGTAAAGAATGCGATCACAAGCGACAAAGCTAAGGGGAATGAGCTTTTTTGAAATAATGGATGAAGATATTTGAGTAGTACTCATTGAACTAGAAAGCACAGTGTACATGAGAATAAATAACTGAAAATTGTGAACCATGGGCAAGACTGGAATTGCAGAGCTTATGAATGAACTGAATTCAGCAAAGCAGGGTTGCTCGATCGTCCTAAAAAAGGGGGAAAATAAGAAGCCAGAAGGCATTTGCGTAAAGAAAACTATTTCACGCATTACTTTTTTGGAGGAAAATTACTAAAGCACATAACTTTTGGTGATGGAAACTGTGTCACTCGCTACTCTGTGGAAGAAAATAATGAAGTGTGCAGCCTTGTGTGAGCAGAAATATGAAGGCAAGGAGCTTTCTGCACCCCTGCAGCAGAGAAGAACTGTCTCATAAAATTAGAACAGGAGAATAGAAGTTTAATGGTTTTCTCTTCCATAAAACTTAGTACAGAAAGCAAGTTATAGGCCCATGAATGAGAGACTAAGAGTGCTTCCTGAGCTCTTAATTTTTTGTGAAGAGAATGTAAGATTCTTGGCGAGCTCATAGTAATAAACAATCAAATTTTTTGTAAAATGCGATCGAAAATGAGGAAGTGTGGGTTCCTTCTACCAGAATTGAAGTTTTTGTGTCCAAAATTCGAAGAAGTTTTTTGAAGAAGTTGAAAACTCTGATCTTTGAAGAGGAGGCGAAAATATGCTCAGAGAGTAGGTATGTCGCAGTTATTGCTGAAAATGAAATGTGTCATATTTCTGGGTAAATACACGGAATACAATTGGTCAGCTATAAGTAAATGATGAATAAGTGTTTAAACTTCCTTGATTGACTGGTTGGGCAAGTAGTGTATTTCGTGACAAATCTTCGGGGGATTTTTCAAAAATAATTAATCTGCATCATACCTGTGAGGTTCTAATTAGAAGATCAAAGATAAATAAAATAATTGTTATTAGGATAATCTGAAATCAATATACAAAAGATGGTTAGGAAAAGCACTGAGAAACAAATAACAAGCTACTGTTTCCTATATTATCAGTGGGTAACTTACGATAATTTCTGTATCTGCTCCGACAAACTCTCATTGTCATGCTTTAAAAATTTCACATCAGCTTCTTTAGAATACAATTGGCAATTCAAGTCGTCAAGTTTGATCTTCAGGGATTCGATGGTGTCTTCAGAATCACCGCTGATAACTTCTACATTGAAGAATAGGTGTATTAGATTCTTGTCTTTGACTTCTTGCCGGCACTCGGGACATGTTTTCTCCCTGAAAAAAATGAGAGTGGGTTAGCAGTCTTCACTAAAGGATAAAAAAGTGAGTTGTGACTCATCCTCTAATTATCAGGGTAAAGTACACTGATCAAAGCCTGCAGCTCTAGTATTAAAGAAATAGAAACTTCACAAATTCTGTTCAGCAAATGAAACGTAGAGGAAAATAATCTAGACTCAATCGAGATTCCTTGTCAGGCAACTTAAAAGACAAATAGTTAGTTAGGATGTTATTTTATTTATAGACATTCAGCATAATAGGATATTAACGTCTTTACAGATGCGAGGTGAAGGTGTACAAGAGAAGAATACATTGATGTACATAAAACTTTCGGGAGAACCTTGAAAACATTTTTGCTGAGGTCTTATCTTGGAATAAGCGAAACAGAAAAACAAGCTATAAAACGTTCCTTACTCTAACGCTACCTAATGGCTAAGTTATAGATTATTTGGCTTGAGGTGAGAATATTACCTCTTTGATGATTGGCAATTAAATCATGAGGTATGCATGATAAACAAAGGATAGCATCCGATAGGTGAAAGGAGCCACCTCAAGGATAAAAGACACTTACCGTTCAAACCACTGATTAATACAGCCTGAATGGAATATGTGTCCGCATGGACAGGAGCAAACTTGTTTTAAATTATCGTTTGTGAATACCTCACAACAAATGGCACAAAGAATTTGCATAATTGGGTCAAAATTTTGATCACGTCCTTATCATGAAAACAGACTTCTGATTCGGACTTCAGCGAGGGCTGGGAATACAGCTAGCTGTGAAGTTTTAAATGATAGATAAGGAAAAAGTTTTGTGGCTATCCGTAGACATAACAGGAAACTTGCGATAAGAAACTTGAACTCGTAAATCGTAACTAAACGAAGCAGAGAGATAATGGAGTATTGCACTTGTGGTCCTTCATGGTGGGAGAGAACGGAACAAAGGAATTAATTTTGCAATGGTCGCACGAATGTTTTCTCAATGCATTAAACGTGTAAGAAAGAAGCTACTTCATCAGTAGAATTTAAATACTCTTCCACGAATTGGATAGAATTAAAATTAATCACTCACAACTTTTCACTTCGCGATCAGCAGAGAAGTAAAAGTGGTAACAAAACATGACGCATTAAGCAATTTCGTGACGTCACGTGTAGTTTATCAGCAATGCCTGATTGCAACAGCAAACGAAAATTTCTACATACATTACGAAAACGTAAAATACATCCAATTCATAGCACAATTTGGCGACTGCATGGTCTAATTCTCCCTCTCCTTGTGCTCTCCTTTTACAGATTCAACTCTCTCTTTCTCTTGAAGGGAGCAAGAGAAATTCTCTTGAAAATTTTTATTCTCAGAGAATAATGACGGCCTTCATTTTCTGTTTTGTAGTTTAGCGCCTCTAACGGATGGTAAGAGAACTAATCGATAGATCGTTGATTCGTTGTCAAGTCGCTGCAACCTATATGGGAAAAAATCGATAGATGGAGTGTTCGCAACGAACGACTTGTAACTATCGATTCTTTACCATAGCTTCTAACGGGAAAATATCGATATTCGATCGGGTCTAAAAGTAAGTGGACAAGTTCATGACAATAACAAAGTCCCTCACAGTCTCTAACCTCTTACACGCGGAGATATGATATTCTGATATCGCAAATTAAAATATCCTCCATGTAATAATTTCATATCTAACTCCGATGAGTGTCTCGTGTGAGTGATCGTGCAACCTCATTCAGAAATTCATCAATTAAAATGTCAGCAGGATTCAGCGGTGTACTCCAACTTACAGACTTGGACGACTTCATCACACCTTCGTTGGTAAGGCCCCCTCAACTTTATTTCATTTTTATACATTGTATATGTGCCTCAGGATGATGGAATAAGCATCATGTATGTTGGGGGTACACGTACTAATACGATGGACTGCTTGATCTTCTGTAATGGTTAGACCCTGATCCTTTCAAGAGATAAGGAGAGTGACGAAAAAGTATTTGAGTCCTGAAAATGTGTTTCCGAAGGTAGCTAATTACACATCAATGGTTATGAACCTGACGCCAGCAAGCTGTTCGCAAACTTCAGGGGAGCTCTGGTAATTTTGGGGATGAGCATCATGGCTCAGTGGAAAGTCATGACCCCAAGGACCCACTGAGCAAGACCAATCCACACAGGTCAGTCATTCCCCAGGACGAGTTTTAAAACTACTGCGCAGTGATGTAGTATTGAGTGCCTGCAATGTTTTTCTTATGGGAGCACCCATTGTGACGTAGCATTGAGTGCCGCGAGTTAGGGCTGGGCGGAGGAGTGGATTTCAAAAAAGCTGCGCAATGCAGTCATTTGTGCAGTGACCTGTGAGGATTGGTCTTGCCACTGAGGTAGATGTGTTGCTCTGCTACCTGATTTTTGTAACTTTAACTGGCTATGTTGGCAAAATAAGACAAGGCATAGCCCTACCTGTGCCGCGTAAAAAATCGTTTCTATTTTTGTTGTGCCCACTTAAATTTCAACAGTGTCTTATTTTATTTTTGGGTTAAATGGGCAAACTACATCTTTTTCCTTCTACCAGCCGCCTTTCTCCTCCGTCTCTTCTCCCTAGAAGTCGGCCTTCTGTAGTGTAGTGGTTGTAGGGCTGGCCCTATGACCAAGAGGTCCCGGGTTCGATTCCCGACCAGGTAATTTGAGTTTGATGGTCTCAGACAATGGTCACCTGGGGCTGGGGTAATAAGCTTGAGATTAGCCGATAGGCTTTTTGAAATTGGTATAAAAAGCAGGTGTTGTCAGCTAAGTTGGCATTTTTTTACTTTCAGTTTGTAAGTGCAGACGACGAAGTTAGGACTCTGCACAGACCATCGTTCGCTACTATCCACCTTAAAAACACCCGTCTCACGATCACACTGTATAAAAACTACCTATCAGTTATAATCCGTGACTTTTATGTGGTTTTGATTTCTGTGTGGCTAAAAATTAAAGTGTTACAAGGATTAAAAGTATTTAAAATCCTTTCAAAGATTGTGTTCTTGTTTCCACGAGAGTCGGATGTTTTCATGTGGATATTATCGACGTATAGAGTGTCTCAGATGAGATGCCTCGAACGAGTCACAGAGTGTGTCAGAGAGATGGTGATTACATTGAAAAAAGAGAAAGAAAATTCATATCGGTTAAAACCCTGAATACTATACCTTTGATTATGCTTGTTATTCCAAGTTTCAGCTTGCAAACCAAAAGTAAACAAATTCCAACTTAGCTGACGACACCTCTAGTAATTCTAGTGCTCGAAAGGTTTAAGGACTTTCCAAGTAAACTTCACGTCAAGCAACCACTTAACTAAGATTTTGACTTTTTAGCCAAAAGAAGGACCATAGCCGCCCAGGAGAAAACTTTTCATAACTTGATTTAACTGTCAAAAGCGAAGGGATATTGAATTTTTAGAGACTCTCTATACGTGCTAAAGAGATGGTGATTACATTGAAAACAGAAAGAAAATTCATATTGGTCAAAACCCTGAATACTATACCTTTGATCATGCTTGTTATTTCAAGTTCCAGCACTCAAGATATTACAATTTTTTAGTTAAAAAACTTTTTGTATTTTCAGGAATGTATCAAGCCAATCAAAGTCGAAAAAAGTACCACCAGCACAGGCTCCAAGATAAAAATCGAAAATGACGGCTCTTATGTTCAAATTAAAGCGGTGAGTATTGTCTGTATTAGCTATTTTGTCATAAGTTACCCCTACTGTAAAAGTTACTTTGACACATGATGAATCGGAATAGTGAAAACTTCAGGAACTTTTTTGCAAAGGAAAGTAGTTTTTATAAATGCATTCCTAACAGGGTCACTCTTTCATATTGTTGCATTTTATTCATCTGTAGTAGAGTCGGATTTTACATTTACATTTCAAAGTTGAATTTCTCAAACAACAAATCTTAGTTTGTGACCTTGTAAAATTCCTGTCAAACTTTATTTTTAAAAGGTGAACTACTTAGGTAATGTCAATTCTGGAAAAACTTACATGAATGATTTTATCTGTCGTCTTTCAAAGGAATGAAATGGAGGCAGGTATATTAAGACACTGATATCGAGATAAGTGGTTTGGGAGTTTTGCCTTTGATTTGCGACTGTCCAAGTGTCCACTGTCAAGAAGGAAATTTTCAATTGAATTGTTGGTACTTACCTTACCACTGCTTCAAGGAGTCTTTGCTAACATTTCGGCCCAAATAATCCCCAAAAATGTGAAACTGACTCTAAATCATGATGGTTAGAAATTAGAAGTTTATAAGACATAGGTTTGAAAATTACTTCCATGGTTCATGCCTTAAAATTCTCCAATCCAGTACAAATCGACGGTGAAACTACCAGACCACAAATCTTGGTTTGCGACATCGCAGACTTCCTGTCATACTTTATTCTTTTCAATGGAAAATTAGTCATGTTGTTTTTTCAGAAAACTTTCGTATCTTTCCTTCGAAGAAAATTATGTGAAAATTTCAAGAAATGATATGATTTGTTCTCCTTCGAAAAAGGAAGATGGGAGCCGAATTTTTTAAACTCCGCAAACAAGATACGTGGTCTGGTAGTTTCACTCACATATGCAAAGATATTCACGTGTACAATGTTACACCTTTGTCTGCCACTTGGATGAACAAAGCAGGTGACAATTTTCTTTCTGGGGTCCCAGATAGTTTAAATACAAATTTTTTATGGAACTTGACAAATGTTACTCTTCTGACTGTGCCTCCAAGTGCTTAGCTACCTGCTAAGAGAACAATTTTTTTTTTTAAAAAAAAAAAGTTTTCTGATTTTTAATGCGGCTTTGCTGCACATTCTCAAATCATCCAAAAATTTAACAAAATTTAAATCAAAGCGTTGAGTTGACCTTATTTCGGAAACGCAGTGCGTTGCAGAAAATTGTGTAAGTCCAGAACAATATGCAGCCCTGCAGATTTTCCTCTGCTCATCTTTTACTTTTCTACTTCCTTTTGCTCCAAGACACTTTTCAATTTTTCATCAACATCGATTCTAGCCTCTTTAACCCAGAAATGAGAGGCAGCTGTAGCTTATGAAGAGCAATCCCTTACACTGCTCATGGTTTTGATTTTTGTTGTATTTTTCTGTGTGTAAGTAGTTCCTCCTTATAATAAATCACTCTTCTTTTTGATCACCTTTCACCTCGATTACTTTGACTCACCTGGTTGAATTTCTCATGCAGGGTGGAGATGCAGAACGGCTGAAGAGGGTTGATATATCTTTGAACGACTGCTTGGCTTGCAGTGGATGCATCACCTCAGCTGAAACTGTGCTTGTCACCCAACAAAGCCAAGAGGAAATGCTCAGAGTTTTCGAAGAAAATCTTCAATTGAAACAGGTCCGTAAATGTGTTGTTTCTCTAATAATTTTATTACGCAGAATATTTTTTGCTATCACAGCTGTCAGCAGCTGTTTGCAAATAACTGAAGGGATTTTTAATACAATAGTAGTAATAACATCATAAAATGAGCAAATAAGTTCTTGACTTTCATTTAATTTTTTGTAACCTTATTTTACAGTCAGCACCAGAGCAAGCCAAACTGATAGTTGTCTCTATATCTGTGCAACCTATTCTCTCTCTAGCAGTGAGGTATAATCTGAAACCTACAGAGACTGCAGAAAGATTATCAGGTAAAATTTACTCTATTTTATCCATTGGTGCTCTTAATTGATATCTTATATAATTGAAGTTACATTTGTCAATGATTTTTGCCTCAAAGGTTGAAATAATTTTAATGTGTCTTTTGGTGGAACATATCAATCAGTCAGCTAAGAATCATCTCTTGATCAACCTCTAGTTTGTCTCAGGATCAACCAATCGACAGATACTCTATTCAAGGAGGGTTTGCAAACTTTTCTGCATGCAGCATTAAAAATGCCAAATCAAATGTAAAATTACAAAAGTATGAATGGGCCTGTTGCAAACTTTTGCTAGAGCAAAAATAAGAGTTGTTTCTTGTAGATAATGCCTCAAAAATCACGATGAGCGCATCGGCAAAGTCTGAAATTCACTCATAACTTCACAATCTGCGTAAGAAATTTGCGTTTTTTTAAGCTTCCCGCTTCAAAAACGATACTACGGCACAGGTGAACATTTTGTTAGAGGAGTCGCTCCATCGTCGGCGATATTCATCGTGGCCGACGCTTGCACGCAGTTCCGCGCGTAATTCAAGGAGAGTTCAAGGTCAATCAATTCGGGCGTGGAAAATATGAACGTTAACACACCGATTGTTATCTGGTCTAATCCAGTTCAGGTGTTATCTCGTCCCATCAAACGTGTTTTGGCGGATTGGCGTCGGCTATGATGATTATTGCCGACGATGGAACGACTCCTCTTACAAAATGTTCACCTGTGCCGTAGTATCGTTTTTGAAGCGGGAAGCTCAAAAAACCGCAAATTTCTTACGCAGATTGTGAAGTTATGAGTGCATTTCAGAGTTTGCCAATGCGCTCATCGTGATTTTTGAGGCATTATCTATAAGAAACAACTCTTAGTTTTGCTCTAGCAAAAGTTTGCAACAGGCCCATTGTGAAATGCGAAAAAAAAAGTATCTAAAAAACAATTTCTGAAGTTTTCACCTGCGATCTTGGGGTTCAAACTTGGATTCTTGTACGCGCAACTGTATACCCTCTTTTGGCTGGGAAATACAGGACACTGCTCGCAGTTTTTTCTTTGCAATGCTCAAAAATTTTTCCATATAAAATACAATTTCCAGTAATTAAATCCGAAGAAGGAAATATCACTCTTTTAAAATGTCTGCATCCGTGTACTAAGGTCTCTAATCAGCTCAAGTATCACCTACCTCAAATATAAAACAGAAAGGTCAATCTCTTGAATATGATCCTTCATAGGTAAAAGGACCTAAATCCAACGGGGGAAAATTTCCAGCACCTGGAGCGATTTCTGTCAAGTTGAGACACAAAATTCAATTTTGAGATTTCATCGTCCAATACTTTCTAGCCCCCCTTAGAGTAAGCTGCAAGGTTTGGTTCAGTTTGTTACCAATAGAGAGCATTAACTTACATTAAAATCTGGAAATTTGTGTACCCTTAAAATGGCAGATTATAATTTAAAGTAGCTTATTTTTTAAACTATTTTCTTTGGACTGGTACTTCAAACTGGTTTAGTTTGACATTCATGAATGTCTCATGTACCAAAATTTTCATAGAACTCTCTCCTATAAATGGCTTAGGTGCAAAATCATGTGCCTCCATTGAAATGTTTCAACATTTTTGCTCCAATCTTATTAGTTTGGAAAAAAAAACAAGCCAACTTTGTAGCTTTAAATTTATGCAGTATATTCTGTCTACAGAGGAGAAAAAACGGTGAAGTTTTCTAAAAATTATTTTGACTAGTTTTCCGAAAAAAAGTGAAGTATGGCAGGGAGTCTGCAACATCGCAAATGGATGTACGTCATTTCGCACTTTGGCCACTGCTTTTCAGGGGTATCCATAAATCTATTTTTTGGTGGACCGTTTGCAGGTCTACGGCCACAAATGGGGGGAAAAGGTTTTGCTGAAATAACAAATGTTTCCTAAAATTTCATCGATTGGCAGAGGCGGATCCAGCAATTTGGCAACACTAGATCTCCTCCATTTAAACCTATGCTGAATGATCGATTCTTGTCGGAGCACCTGGCCCCACCAAGAATCGATACATTTTCATAGGTTTAAATGGAGGAAACACGGTGTTGCCAAATTGCTGGATCCGCCAATGTCGATTAGCATGGAATTTATTGTCTTCTCACCTAGTAAACAAACTAAATTCTGTTTTACAGGTTATATGAAAAAATTAGGTGCTGACCTAGTGGTCGACTGTTGTGTCGGAGAAGACTTTGCTCTTCTAGAGGCACAAAATGAATTCATCGAACGTTACCAAAACCATCAAAACAATCCAAAATCTGAATCATTACCAATGTTAGCATCTTCCTGTCCCGGTATGTTTCTTCAAGTTTTGTCTCATAAATGTATTCAGAACAGAAATAAGGATTTGAAAATTTAGAGGTCGTCCACTGCAATGTATTTACAAAGTCAGTGTCCCTATTTGAGGTTCCTGTAAAGTTCTTTTCAAACAGTAAATACGCTCCTCCTTTATTTTTCTTGAGCTTGCTTTTTCATTTATACAGGGTGATTTACTGTTAAGTTAGAAATGCCGACTTATTCATAATTGATGAAATAATTAATACCTGATAATGGGATTAATAAGGGCTGTTTCGTCAATTTTTAAATGTCAGTATAAGCTGGACAAGCTGTTATTACTGCCGTGCTAAGGAAGAACGCGGTATGAACATTCGAGAGTTTCCAAATTTCCTTCAATAAAATGTTTATTTTTGCGGAACGTTATGAATATTTTTCCTTGAATTTTTCAGGAACTCCACGTGAAATTGCGCACACAATTATCTGACAAATTGGAAGGAAAATTTTCTCAAGTTTTTCAGGGAATTTGTGTTTAATCAAAGGAAATTTGGCGACGCCTAAAGGTTCATACGGCGTTTTTCCTTAACACAGCAGATTACTGCTCATGAAGAATTAAGTTGTCAAGCCCTAAAATAGCACGGAAATGTGCATGGAAGACGTTACCATTATTGTCACATAGTAATTTGTATCGAGTATCAGTTTCTTACATGGGTATATTTTTTCTGCCTTTTAAAAGTTTGACCGCTTAATCATTTATGTGAAGTTACAGGAAAGTGTCCAGAACATACTGACGTTCAAATATTCAGGAAATTTCTATAATTAATCTCAATTTCAGTTGTATACGTATGAAAAAATTAAACACTAAGAAGTGGCCTGAACTGTATGTAACAAGGTGGAGAAATGGTGCTGGGTCCACACCATTTTGCGGGGAAACACCCGAACTGTATGTAACAAGGTGGAGAAATGGTGCTGGGTCCACACCATTTCGCAGGGAAACATCTTCATTCTCTTCTTCAAACATCATTCTCCCCCCCTCAGTTTCGTACTGGAGCGCATTAGAGTTCTAAAAATTTATTTTTGACTCTAATTTTAATTTTCGGTATTTCTTGGCTTTGTTTCTCCGCGAAATGGTGTGGACCCAGCACCATTTCTCCACCTTGTTGTATACATATTGACTGAAGTATGTATTTTCACAGTTCAGCCATCATATTTTCTTTTAGATGACAAGAAAATTTTGATCAGCCACATGGATAGATTCAATCAGAAATTAGTCTAACTGCATTTCATATTGCCTCATTCCCATTCAGTTTTTATTTTTCATAGGGAAATTTAGTATTATAATCTGTACCTAGATTGAAATGTAGTGTAGAAATTCACACTACAGAGTAATCTTTTAGATTTTAAAGAAGACTCTTACAAAATCTCAAAATATTACTTCGTTTCCTGTCTCAAAAATATAAAACAAGAAGAAATCAGGCTATTTCTTATGTAATTAGGCTTGTTTTAGGTAAAGAGATCCTCTTGTTGCACAGAACTTGTACTCCTAATGATGTATCCTTGAATGTCTCTATTTTCTGTTCATTTCCATCAGGTTGGGTTTGTTACGCTGAGAAAACTCATGGCAGCTTCATTTTACCGTACATCAGTGCCACGAAGTCCCCTCAACAAATAATGGGCTCGCTTGTCAAAAATTTCCTAGCAAGTATCAAAGGAATAAACCCCAATCAAATTTATCATCTCACCGTTATGCCATGTTATGATAAAAAATTAGAAGCATCTCGTAACGAATTTTATAATTCTGCGTTCGAAACTCGAGATGTGGACTGTGTTATCACTGCCAGTAAGTATTTTCTCTGCATATTGCGACTATCTAAGAGCAAAAAATCGTAAAAATGGGAATAAACATTCATCATAGGAATGGCATAGCTTTGCCATGCTGCTCGGATTGTGCAACAGGCTGCATTATTTGCTGTCGACCATTTTGAATGAGCCAAAATTTTTCCTGTAAAATTCTCTGTGCTTTATTAATTTTTCTGTAAAAATAATTAGAATGTATGTTTAATTGGTTTGTTACACATTTTATAGCTGTTGCATTGTCTGAGCAACACTCTGAAGTTCATAGGTTTTTTCTGCAAAACATGACTCGGTTTGACCTTGCCCTGTCATACAAATACGAAAATGAAGCCATTCCAATTTCTGGACGTTGCCTAATTTTTTTTAAATAAAATTAGAATTCCCGGAAAGCCTTTGAATTTTTCTTTTTGAATAAAGTATCATATTCACAATTTTTATCTTGTGTAATTATCAGTTTGAAAGAAAACAATTTTAATTTTGAGAAGAAAAAAATTTTCATCTGAGAATATCAAGCTTCATTTAAACTCTCATGTAATATTCTTCATTAGCATGGAAGAATCGGAACCAGGCAGAAGACTCGTTCCCTTAAATTGCCATTAATTTTATACTATTGCTCAGATTTAAGCAGTCATTTGCTAGCAACAAAAAGTAATCAATGACCAGAAAAAGCATGTTTTCAATCTTTACTGCTAGTCTTAGAGGAATGGACTTTCATTCAAATACATCAAGATTTGGTTCAACTTCCTATTTCTCATCGCACTAATGCACAACCAAGATTTTGGGCCAGAGCACATAACGCAAGGTCTTAAAATGTCATTTGCTTCCTGTCCTGCAGAACATCACAAATGAACCGATATATTTTGGATCAATTCCAGTTTATCAGCGTGGCTTGAAATATTTTTTACAAGATAGACAGTTTTGCTCCATGAATAGTAAAATAAGTGTTCGATGATAAACCTATATCACGCTCAGTCTTTGCAGACTTCCAGCTAAATTTTATACTCACCTGAAAAACCAACTATTGTCAACTATGATGAATTTTCTCTGCTGTTCCCAAAATTTTCTCCCAAAGTTGCATGTAAAAATGAATGATACTTTCCTTTTCAAAAGTAAAGAAACAGCAAACATTTTCATGCACAGTTGGGAAATTTCAGGGTTTTGCAGTTTTACCACGTGCCTTTTATCAAACATCAAAGTATTGTTGAGTTCGTCACAACTGCGCCATTTTACTTTTGTCATTAGCTGTTTTGCAAAGTGCAAAGTTAACATGTAAATATTTCTGTCTCTAGTTGAACTAGAAGCGTTACTATCAAGCAGCAATTTAGATCTTGCGGATATGCCCTCTTCTTCCGTTGATTGGCCGTGGAATGCAAAACCACCAGATTATCAAGTCTCTCGGCACATAGGATCCGGGTCTGGTGGATACGCTCACCAAATTTTCCTTCATGCCGCCAAGATATTACATCCAAACATCGAACCCCATTTGGATTTTAAACCGCTCAGGTAACTTCATCAAGTCTCACTCCAGATTCTCGTCACTGAATCTTTTCTTCTGATTTTCTGTAGGGACCCCCAAATTTAAAGATGGTCCCCTGAATGAACATTCTTTGTCTTGAATTTTTTAAATTTGTGGATACGAGCTCATATGAACAGGAAAGAACCTGGTAACTAAAGTAAACTGTAACTTCAGTCTGACTTTATTGGGTGTTCAAGACCCGAGGCTTGCTGTAATTGTAAGAAATGAAGCAATTGGGATGTTTTGAAATAACATGTATGTTCGTAGGCATTGGACTGACAGGAAAGAGAAAAGTAGAGGAGGTAATGTGTTGGTTTCTTTATAGGGACAACCTCCTGCTTTTAGACAATGAAATGAAAGAAAACCACAATTTTTTGTGAGAACTTGCGCAGATCACGCACAAGACTTATGGCAAACAATTTTTTTGGAGCTATCTTATCACGAGGAGCTGTGAACTCTAAAACAATGGTTCGCCATTGAAACTGAATGAGCTCTTAAACTTCGATTTACTGGATTCGACTGGATTTACCCCTTTTAGTGTGATGTTCACTTTTTTTTAAATAGTTCTATCTCTCTTCACATTCTAATACCTGTTATTTTCCTCCTTTCAGGAATATTGACTTTCGTGAAGTCATCTTAGAGAATGATGGTAAAGTCCTTCTCAGATTCGGAATTGCCAACGGTTTTAGAAACATTCAGAATTTGGTGCAGAAACTGAAAAGGAAAAAATGCCCTTATGACTATGTTGAAGTGATGGCTTGTCCCTCAGGTAAATGAAATGTACTTCTCACTTGTGTATTTCTCTATTGTTTATCCAAATTTAATTTTATAAGTTCCTTAAATCAAATGATTCAAATTTTGATCACTGATCATTGAAGCATTTTTTAAGCACATTAGACGTTTTTCATTAAACTAAAGTATACTTGAGAAAGGAAAATTTTTTTTAGAAATTATTAATTATTCGCAGATTGATAAGTTTGTTCTCTATGGCTAATTTAAGATGCATTGAATTTGGTATTTTTGAAGAAGGAAGTGGTCACGTCATTTAATTTCTGGGTCGATAACAAATGCTAATCTTCCACTTGGGTATAAGTTATTTTTGGAAACTTTCAATCCAGATTTTAAAGTTGAATCTGTTTTTACAGGGTGTCTAAATGGTGGGGCTCAAGTGAGATCGAAAGAAGACAGCACTTCTCGTGACCTCATCCAGAAACTAGAAAACTTATATGAAAGCCTGCCGCTGCATAAACCAGAAGAAAACCCAACGGTTTTAGAACTTTACAATCAGTGGCTTGGACCACACAGCGACAGAGGGAAGTCAATGATGCGGACAACCTATCACGCAGTAGAGAAAAACACGACAGCCTTGACTATCAAGTGGTAAACAAGGCTAGGTAACTGTGTGAAATTTCTTTGGTGGTAATTTGCCTTGAATATATGGTGGAAGCTGTCTTTTCAAGTTTTTAAGGGTGAACCGCTGTTTTGGTTTCGTATATGACGAGGAGTTGGATGGCAACAAAACAGCTCAAGTGGAACACCGCTGAGTGGATAGTGGGAGCTTCTTGGCAAGTGTAGCTACATCCATTATTCAAGTGATATTTATTGTTGCTGTATGATAAATGAAATGTAACCGTTCTCGGGAAAGGAACCGTAGTGCTGGAAATTCAGAAAGTAGATATTCATTGGTTTTGTTGCTTCGAAGAGCCTCTTTTGCACAGAAATTGCCCAAAAATTTTGAACCCAATCAAAGTCATGACAGTTTGAATTGTCCAGTCTAAAAAACATAGTTTTTTTGGGAACTTCCTTAAACCATTGTGTTTTTTTACCTAATTTTGGCTAACACATGCAAAAATCAGTAATTCTGAACAATCCAATTACCTACGAAATCCAGAAAAGAGAGGAATACCAGTGAGAAGTGATAACAAGATATCTGAATGAGCCCTCTTGTCCAGTGGCAATTAAAATTAGATAATAATTATTAATATCTTAAAAAAATTGTGATTCTTACGTTCGCCATTAGGTGAGGGGCTTTTTCCCTCAGGAAATTTATCATTTTCATTCGTTAGAATTTCTTCTTGTTTGCATACTCTGTCAGGAATGAATAAAATAAGAATGAATGTCTATGATGGTTAAACTATTATGAAGTGGTGGAAAAAACTAATGAAGGCACAAAGAAAGTAGCTTAACACAGCGGCACAACCTGTGGCTCAGATGCTCAAGATTCGTGGTGGTCCAGGAGTTTGAAAAGCTTCTGAGGAGGTTGCATTCCACCTATACACAAACTAAAAGAAAAATCTACAGAATCTTCGTAGACGAATGCCCCTTGCATTTCAGGAACAGCTTCATCTTGGTGGCCAAAGAATTCTTTCTTGGACAATATGGTGGGGTGACTTTTTTGTACAGTTTTATTTTGTGCAAAACAAAAATAATAAAAAATTACGGTGGGAAGTAGAACTTGGAGAAATCACTGAAAAAGGTTTTTTTTTAAATGGCTGATCAGTGTAAACAGAAACTCTTTTTTTAAAAAAAACCATTCAATTTATTTCTATAAAATTAACCTATACAAGATAATGCAATATTTACAAAAAGTTTGTCACTGAAAAAAAGAAATTACATTTGTCGAAGGTAATAATAGATGAATTGGAACTCAGAAAAAAAAGTTATCTCAGAGCAAAGAAGTATGTACACTGAGTGAACTAAGATACTAGGTCAGTGGGGAAAAACGAGTGGAAAAATATGAACCTTGATACATTTTCATCTTAATATATCTTTTAAACTGTGTTTTGATAGTGGCTGTACAATTTATTTGAAGAATGTTGCAATTGCTGTGAGGATCTGTTACAACCCAAGCTGTTTTCTAAATGAGCCATTTAATTGAATCACCAAAAATGAGCTCCTGAATTTACTGTCTTAAAGTTTTGAAATTTAAATCAGAATTTCAGTTTTTCTACTTCGACCACCCCTTGTTATTTCAAGTTACATGATTTTTTGTCAACTTCACAGTCATCCCATCTAAGTTGCAGGCATGATGTTTTTTCTGAATTCAATTCGTTCTCGAAAATGTTGGTGGTATTGTATGAAAATTGTTGGAATTTTGTTGGTCTATTTTTGTCCAAAGAAAGAGGAATTAAATACAAAATATTTGTACCTGAAGTTTTTGTTTGTCTCTGTGTTGTCATCGTAAATCTAACTTAGTGTTCAGTATTGATATTCATGATGTATCATTTCTGAACAGTAATCTTCACATCAAGTATTATTTGAGGTACGTGGTTTCAATTGATAGCAGTAAATAGGAACAATTTTTTCTCCTCTGAGCTGTCACAGGGGAGGTTAAAAAATCTTGATTACTTATTTAAAAAAGGAAGATTTTCAGTTAAACAATACTTCTGTCCTCCTCCCTTTCTGTTTCTTAAAAAAATACAGATAGGTAGACCAGAAACCTGGATAGAAACTTGGATTTAGATGTACATTTGCTCTGTTTTTTCGGCCTGAAATAGATTTCATATTCCCTTCGTTAAATATTTTATCACATCTATAGAAATCACAATAATGCATCTCTCTAATGAGTGCCTAATTCCCGAGTTTACAAATATGAACGCATTTTTTCGGATTTTTTTATTATTTCCTGAATATTGTTTTCTTTACTTCTTTTTGTATCTGTAATCAAGATTTTTTTATCATACATGCGGCGAAATATTGATGGTCAAAGTGCAAAACAACACATCTCCATCGCAGTGTTTCAAAATTTCTGAACCTGTTTTATTTTTTTATACAGAAACAAGCCATTTGTATACGTTGAAATTTATACATAACATTCTGCTAAGAAAGGAGAAACATCCAAAAATGTTTCAATTAATTACGCCGACTAGTTTTCCAAAGAAAAGATAAAGTATGGCAGGTAGACTGCAGCGTCGCAAACGGAGCTATGTGGTTTCGCACTTCAGTCATGAGTATGAAGGAGAGAACACACAATGAGGCCTCATTCAAAACTGAGGTGGGCAATTTTTATGGTTTGTCAAAACTAGAATTTCTGGATCAAATCCGAGCTCTTGCAGTGAGGTGTAAATTTTGTGCCTGACTTCAGCTGGAAGATCTTTGTCTCTGCCCATCACCCAGATCAAATCTGAAACAAGAGAGTAGACAGCCATAAGAAAAAATAGATCATTGAATTTCCAAACGATTCAACTCAAATTCTCACATAGCCCTCTTGAAGCACCACTACAAATGGATCGCATTCAGCAAAAAGGAACCAGCTCGATTACAGTGTTGAAAAATGGTTGATTCTTCTCAATTATCTAAAAATCTTTCAGAATAGCTAATATATTTTGCATCCCAGCAAAAAATTGTCAATTTTGAAGGAAAATAATTGTGTAAATTTTAATACTGTAAATATATTGAGTATTTTTACAAAGAAAGAAGAAGTTGCACGATTTTGAAAACACTGTAATTGCGGTTCTTATCGATATACTGCGATGCTAAGTAAAAACACCTTATGAGCCATCAGGCGTTGCCAAATTTCCACTCGGAAAATATTCATTTTTAAAGGAAGTTATGAATATTTTTTCTTGAAATTTTCAGCTTTTTAAGATCAAACTACGAACGAAATACTCTGCAAAATCGGAGGAGAAACATTCCCAAATTTTCTGTGGAAATGATTGTGATTTGTAGAAGGAAATTTGGCAACAGCCGATGGCTCATACGGCGTTCTTTCTTCGCATGGCAAGTATACCCCGCCTAAGGCGATCACGTCCTTCTTCAATTTAGATAGGTCACAGTGCAACAAAAATATTGAAATTAAATTGCAATTTGATTTCAATAGAATTGTAATTTTTTACCATGAAATTGCAATATTTTCACATCATTAAGTGGATTTTTTGCAGATTTTAAAAAATCAACAAAATGAGCTCCGTGTGTCAGAAAGATAGGCAATATGCAATGCATTGAAAAATTGCAACTTATTTCAATTTTATCGTAATAAGTTTCAAAAAACGAGGCCCCTTCAAATAGGAGCTAGGCAACATACACAACACTCAGTGAAATTGCAATATTGTTTCAATGTAATTGCTACTTATTGCAATCTGTGCCACTTGAGATCTGGCAATGGGAATGGGTCGGTGCTCACCTGCATGGAAAAAGCCGAGGTCTGAGCAGGACCAGAGAATTGCATACTGCTCGTAGTCTGTGTCGAGTATGGAATATTCGCCAGCGCCGGGCAACATTCTGGAAATTGATGACGGAAGCAGGGAGTCCACTCTGTAATGTAATCGGGCCGGATTTGCAAGCTGAGGCGCAGCTGTTCCTATGTGTATGCTCGGATTCCGAGTTCTGCTCAAAAAAAAAAACACATTAATGGAGAATTTGCACGCAAATTTATTCCTTCATCTGAAAGTGCCTAAAGAGCTGATTTCGTAGTATTTTTTATATTTTTTTTCTTATATGAGATATAGTATAAAAATAGATTTAGAAGTGAGAAAATGCACCGCCTAGTGACGTCATCTGACGGCATTTCCCATTTAAACATGTATTTTAGCAGATTAGATAATTTTGTCATATCTTCCCTAATAATTGTTCAATTCATGAACTAAGGGTATCCTCGTGCATAGTTCACCCAGCAGTTTCCACTCAAACAAGACATTCATCAAATTTCAGACACCTGCAAATTCTCTATTTTGAGAACAAATTGAATGCAACGATGCGAGTGACATACTTTGGTATCGCGAAGTGGAAAAAAATTAATAGGCACTAGTTTTTTTCAATGCCTAGGTCGTCAGGTGCGACTTTCGGCCAAATTATCATAAGTGCATGCGACGTTTGAAAATTTCCGCCACCATTTTATTTTTTTAAAAGGAAATTGTTCAACAAAGCTGTCCGAAAATTTCACCTAATTTTCTTTGTGCTGCCGACAAAATTCAGTGAAATTTTCCAACGGTTTCAATCGATAATTTCTCTGTAAAAAAATAGAATGGCGCCGAAAATTTGGAAGCGTCGTATGGCGCTTGTGATACTTTGACCGGAAGGTGACGAGGTTAAGACACAACTATTCGTGTTCTCAGGATGCCCGTGTTGCATACACAAAAATTGCAGGCGCTTCGGTTTCCGTAGCAGTGGCGACGCGTGAATGATCGATTATCGATATTTCTCCATTTGAGGCTATGGTAAAGTCGATTATTAAGGTGATCGCTGCGAACACTCTGTTTAGCGATCCTTTTCCATAGGTTTGCATGACAGATCAATCGATATATCGCAAAACACGCCACGCCACTGTTCCGTGGGCATAACATGCTGCGCTTGTTAGTTCTTGAGGGTTTTCCACGCTGCATTCATATTCGTATTTAGCATGAATTGTGTTTGGCAAAGTTTCATGATATATCAAGTACATATTTTATTCTGAATCGTTGTAATTGTTTGAAGATGTCAAGCTTTTCGAAAAAAAGGAACTTATTCTTTCTGCAAACTCGAAGAGTGCTGAAAAAAATGTTATCTTCAGCTAGTTAATGCATACTTTATACCTTCCTCGGAAACCGTTTTCACATTTTGAAAAAAAAATCGCTGAAAAATCAGGCACATAAAGGAGCTTTTTTTTGGATTTCTTGAAAATCCAACAGGCAACGAGTTCCGCGCGCCCGCATGTGCCAGCATCGCTTGCTGTGGCGGAAACTCAAACAATGGAGAATTTGCACTCGAAAATTTTATTGCTTTCATCTGAGAGTGCCTAATGAGCTGAGTTCGCAGTATCTTTCATGATTTTTTTCTGATATGAGAGATTGTAGAAAAATTGAGTTAGAAGTGAGATAATTTGCCGCCTTGTGACGTCATCTGGCGACATTTTCCATTTAAACACATGTATTCTAGCAGATTAGGTTATTTTGTCATATTTTCTCCAATAAATGTCCAATTTAGAAACCAAGTATATCCTCGCACGTAGTTTTCCTAGAGGTATCATTTTAAACACGAAAGTCACCAAATTTCAGACACCTGCAAATTCTCTATTATTGAGAACTTGTCGTCATTTTTTATTAGGCAGTCTTAATGAACGATTGCAGAAAATAATTTCAGGATAAAGCGTCAGATAGTTTTCTTTTGAAAAAACAAAACCATGAGCAAAGATTTGCAACCTTGCCAGGGCCGGATTTACCTACTTGCCGCCCGTGGGCCGCCTGTATTTTGCCGCCCCCTTTTCATTCGTTTTGAAACATCAATAAAAACCACCGAGTCAGCGTGCCGGAGGGAAAAGGGTGCATAAGATGCGTTTACTTGTGTTGGACACATTTTTTGATTTTTTTGCGAAAGCCCTGTCAACACTACTAGCTAAATTTCACGGAACTTTGCGCGAAAGTTAAGTTCCGTAAACCTATCTCTATCTGGGCGAGGCCTTCCTTTTATGAGAAATGGACGAAAAAATTATTAAAGAACAAACATAAATGTGGTTTAATAATTTTAACTTCCGCCGCCTCGCCGCGCCGCGCTGACCGCCTTGTGTTTGGCGCAATGCGTGAAGTATTCATGCAGTCTTGTAGGCGCTGTGCGTTCCACGCCGACCGCTGCTGGCTGCACTGTGTCTGGCGCAATGTGTGAAGTATTCATGCAGTCTTGTAGGCGCTAATATGTGTTACATGCCGACCGTCGCGTTGCGCCGAGGGCTTCTCCTTTTCATCTCAAGTCCTCGTCATCATTGCTCTCTGCGCCGCGCCGTTCCAGGGCAAATTGCGTGTTTGGTTTCTCCCTTAACTCGACTAATTAAAGGTGCTGTCTCTTGTATCACCGAAATACGGCAAAATTAGAAATTACTATACTCTCAGGAAATGAGAGATTTTGTCGCCTTTTCTCGTCTGTATATTTTTTTTCGGAATCCGATTTTTTTTATACCTACATTTAAAATAATTGCAAAATTTGCCGCCCATTAATTTGCCGCCATGGGCTGCGGCCCATGTGGCCACCCTCTAAATCCGGCCCTGAGCCTCGCAGGGGCACAGGTGGTGATTGTTATGAATTTTTGTAGGTACTGCCACTAACGATTTTTATAATATCGTTTATATAAGAAAGTCAGCGTGGTAAATAAAAAGTGACTTACAATCGGCTGACTGTTTTGATGAGCACTCGAAGATTCCCATCCGGTTTTGAGGTGAAATTGAATGTAGTGCACATGGACGTAATTTCAAACACGTAAAATGAGCGTTCGACTTCGTACCAGACACCTTTGAACTGTTAACAAAGAATAAATCCACTATGTTAGAGTCACGTACCTATAGATCGCAATGTTTCAAATTAACGGAGGCAAAAATAAATATTTTATCACGAGCAGAGGCGGATCCAGCAATTTGGCTACACCGGATTCCCACCATTTAAACCTATGTTGAATAATCGATTCTTGTCGGGGCACTTGGCCCCTTCAAGAATCGATACATTTCCATAAGGGTTAAATGGAGAAAAACAGTGTTGCCAGTTTGCTGGATCCGCCAATGATCACGAAAAACCTGACAACTTCAAACGAGGGGCTTGCAGGACAAGGCGCATACGTACAGTTTTTGCTATTTCAAGAAATACGTGTTTAAAAATTTAAAATTAGATAGAGCGCCTTACGGCGGAAAGGAAGTTTGATCCAAGTTTTCATGCTTTAAACTTGGATTTTAGCTGTGAACTGCGCACGGAAAATACTTCCAAGCAAGTTTTAGTCGAGTCCATGAATATCCCAATTTTTCCAAAAACTGCACTTATGCGCCTTGTCCTCCAAGCTCCTCAAATGTTCATACGGCGCACAGTGGATCAAATAATTAGAGAGGTCGGACATGACATTATTTATATTTATTTCGCCACATTTTAGCCTTAAAGGGGTGCTGTTTGAAGTACTTAAGGTGATTCGTCAAGCTCAAGTGACACGGTCGAACTGGCATGTGATTTATCGCATCGATTAGGTCAAAAATCTCGGCAGATTTTAAATTTTTAGGGGGGAAAAGGACGAAGAGCCCTGCGCATGAGTCTAAAGAATCATTCTAAACCCAAAAATCGGCAAATTCAAAGAAATGAAAGCAGAATAGTGTTTGGAAAAAAACCTCGGATTCGATACAGAAATCGATAGCTGAATCGATCAAATGCGAGGTTTTTTTCTGTCGAGATTTTTGACCTAATCGATGCGATAAATCGCATGACAGTTCGACAACGTCACTTGAGCTTGACGAATCGCCTTAATGCATATTCTGTAAAAAAATTCGCTCCCAAATTTCAGTTTTTAAGCATTAAAAAGTCAGTTTGCAGAACTTCGTTTTCGCCATTAGGATCCATGAGAATTTCAAACCGTATTTCTCGAAATAACTACACTTATGCGCCTCGTCCTTCAGGCCCCTCATTTGCGATGTGTCCATCAGAACTTTGAACTTTGCTCTACCCTCCATTTTTTTCTGGGAGCTCGGATTGTTCGTCGGAAATATCGGTCGTCCTCTTTGTCTATCGTTATGTCTATCAATTTCAATAATCAGCCCGCAGTCGAGAATATAGATGTCGACCCTCCTCTAAACCCCAAGCATGAGAAGCATTCTTCCGCTTAACAATATCCAATAAACCACATGTCACCAGTCCGAGGCTTTTGTCACAGGACGACAAAAGCGAAGAATAACAGTACGCATGAATGAATGGATAAAAAGTTTTTAAAGCTTCATCAAAAAGATGATATTCAATAAAATCCCGTTTGAATTTTCGAGGGGACTCGAATTCCACGCCTCATTCTTCGAAGAATTGAAAGGGCTCATCACCATGCATGACCTCCTCTGTCGCGCCCAGCGAAGAGGCTTCTTCGACCCCGAAAGTTGCCGAGGCGTGAATGATCGATTATCGATATACATCCTCATTTGAAGCTATGGTAAAAGATCGAGCACTTGGGTGTTCGCTTCTGTTCATCGATCCTTTTCCGTAGGTTTAAATGGCAGATTTTAGAGTCCGAATTTAAGAGGAAAATTTTGAGGAATTGGAAGAATTTTGGCAACTTTCAAATGCTCGCACGACATTCTTTCTTAGCACAGCGGTTATGTGGTTGCTCCGAAAGAATCATAGCTCATTAAGCGCTATCACGTAGTGTCGTCTGACAAAGCGGTGCTCCTGACCAACGCACGCATAACTCTTTGTAAACTTCTCCGCGGGTAAAATAACTTAACTCAACGGACGGGAGGCCTGGAAAGCAGAGCGGTACACGACATGTAGTGGGATTAATTTCAAAGTCAGTTATGCCGCTTTGCAACGGAGCGACGAGTTGGGAATCATGACCCTAAACTTACGTCACCATGGCGGCTGCATTTACTAACAAATGCTGGTGAAGTGGGCATCGAAGAATTTTGTGTGTTTCGAGTTACGTGCGCAGAGGACGCGTGCAAGAGCTAATGGTGTATGAACCACAGCCTAACGAAGAAAAGTAGATCAACTTTACACGGTACCCTCAAAGCAGCGGGCCTGCACGGAAACAGGCGTAGGACATTTCATTCCACCGAGTGACAACATTACAAATCATATATGGATGGTTTCGCGATGACTGGAATAGTTTCGTCGCCGTAACAGACAACACATTTTTCGGTCATACTTTTAGTAGTAATGGTAATCACTCGAATTTGTTTGCATTAATATACATGACGCTTTTTAAAGATTTATCGCTCTATTTTTCAATTTCTAACATATTAAATGGCCGAAAATGTCCTATCTGTTACGCTGACTTTTTTAACGCGTGACAGACAGCACATTTTCGGAATTTAAATTGAGAAGTAGAGCAATAAATCATTAGAAAGCGTTATAATTTATAATACGTATAACCCTTTGAAGATTAATGCGAAAAAATTCGAGTGATTATCATTTCTACTAAAAATATGACCGAAAAATGTGTTGTCTGTTACGGCGACAAAACTATTCCAGTTACCGTAAAACCACCCATGTGTACAACTATTTATGTGAAGTGGATGTCTTTCTAGTATAAACGAAGAATTGAAGGCACTCTGTCATTCTGGATCTTCCAGTACAACCCGCCGCGCTGCGGGTGAAATGATGCCTGGTCAGTGCTTGGAGAATCAAAACGCCTTCATCCCCGTGCGTATGCAACACGGATATCCGTGGAGCTCGAATAGTTGCATCCAGGATTCCAGGCGTTGTGATGCGACTCTCTCAGTCTTCGTTGCATGCGTAATTAATTGAGGGCGCCTGCTTGTTTCTCTTATACCTCAACTTCATATCAGCGTCGCCTGTTGTGCCGGTCAAGTAATCTATTACAAATTTTCATTACGATATTGTCAATTTTCCGAGAAATCCATAAAACGTTGCTGGTCCTCAAAATTCCTGGAAAAGTTAGATATCCGTACAATATTTGTTGATTTTCCTTCAACCTCTATAAACGAGTCGTCTTTTGTTTGGATTTTCCTCCCCTTTCGGAAAAATACTTTTGACGTTTGAGTGCGAAATTCTCAAAGAACAATCCTCGATACGGCCCTGAAGTTCCTCGCATAATATCCTAGTTTAGGTGCTAGAAAAAATCACGTAAATTTTTTCCTTCTGAAATTTTCTTTTTTCAGGAATTTGCGCTTTTAGGATGAATATCGTTGACACTCTCCTTTTGCGCTATTGGGCTTGCAATTCTCGCAAGTTTGCGCTAATGGGTGGTTTCACGATAGCAAGAATAATTTTGTCGCCGTAACAAACAACACATTTTTCGGTCATATTTTCAGTAGAAATGATAATCACTCGAATTTTTTCGCATCAATCTTCAAAGGGTTGCGTGTTATAACGCTATCTAATAATTTATTGCTCTACTTCACAATTAATATTATATAAATGACCGAAAATGTGCTGTCTGTTACGCGGTAAAAAGTCAGCGTGACGGACAGCACATTTTCGGCCATTTATTTATTAAAATTGAAAATTAGAGCGATAAATCGTTGGAAAGCGTTATAACAAGTAACCCTGTGTGAATTAATGCCAAAAAATTCGAGTGATTATCATTACTACTAAAAATATGACCGAAAAATGTGCTGCCTGTTACGGCGACAAAACTATTCCGGTTATCGTGAAACCACCCTTATACAATTTTGCACTTGCGGTGCCGCTCATTGTATGACACCAATAAACTTTACACATCGAGGTATCACCGGTATCACAAGGTATTTTCGGAGACTTTACCAGACTATATTTTTTCTTTCTTTTCTCTCTCTCTCTCCCTCTTTTTGAGACATTTGACTCGACTCTTCCTTCTGTGCTATCCTTTACATCTCGAGCACTTGGATACAACTTACATTTACATTATATCTTTTGAAAGAAGACAGGGGAAGCAGTGCTCCCCTTCCTTGCATGGTCGCAACGCAGCGCCACCGACTGACTGCTGCTCACTCCATTCTGCGGCGACGGCCGCGACGGGAGGTGAGCCTCGAGGTTGCGCGATAAACATGGATATTTCACATGGAGTTAACTGTGGACGTGACCTCTGTTCTCCGTATAACTCCATGCTTGCTAGGGTTCACGTGGAAATCAAGGTACGCCCTCAAGTCCAAGGAGCGACGAAATTGGTGATTTTTCGGCACCATTTGGCAAGCATCGGCGGGAGGTGAGTTGTGGCTCGCGG